GCGGGGGGGGGTGGGGTCCCGTGCCACCCACAGGAGCCAATCCGCGTTGGCCGTCCCCCAGCCCTCCTGTGTGTCGGGCTCGGGATCTGCTGGCGTCCTCCCTACTTAGGTTGGACGTGTGTTTTGGATAGAGGAACAGGAAAAGGTCTTTTTTGGAGTCGGGAAGATAGTATCTCTCCTCCGTTGCACCTGTCTCCGCGGGAAAGCATGGTGTTAAAGCGGAAAATGGCCCAAAGGCCAGCATGTGAGAATAAATTGGTCAAACCTGGGATAGGTAAGAATTGACTCGCTCTCGTGTGCGCACGGGTTATAACTTAGGTTTCGCTCATAAGGGTCGTCGATCTCGATTCATTCGTTTTATGGAGAAAGAGATTGTAAGGAGTAGCTGCCAAGTTATTTAAAATATCAAAAGAAGAGCACTTTTTAAAAGACAATGTCCTGCTAGGTCGAGATCATCCTGCCTCAGCCGCTGAGTAGCTGAATCCATATCACCCGGGGCTTCTAGGGTGGGTAGGGAATCAACACCGCCTGCCCGGTGGCCCCAGTCTGCCCAGCAGCAGCGTCAACTAGAGCGCTGAGTGCAAAGCAGACTGCTGGGCCCAGGCAGAACTTGGCTGGGGGACAGACAGAAAAGGAAGAGTGGCGTGCGGAAAAGAGGAGAGCTGAGGGGCCTTGGGCTCTATTCTGATTGGCTCTTTGCTCTTTCACTCCTCTGTGGGGGTCAGTGCCCTTGGTTATCTCAGGTGGTGACCCACCCTCAGTCCAGAAACAAGGCTCTGCAGTCCCACCACCTAGCTGTGAACTTTGAGCAAGTTTCTTGGATCTTTTTGGTCTCTGAAACATTTAAAATCTACTCTTTTAGCCAGTTTGAAATATACGGTGCTTCTTATTATAGTCACCATTCTGTGCAGCCGATCACTAAAGCTTATTCTCCCTGTGTAGCTAGACTGTTGTACCCTGGGATCAACATCTTTTTACCTTTTTAGATCATCCTATGACACCAGACTACCCATCCCCCAGTAGAGTCTCTCTAGTGTACTTCATCCCCTCAACGTAAAAGTTCCACATTCTGGGACTACTCTACTGAGAAGTCAACGCCCAGTGACAGCACTGCTTCCTCCTCTTTTCGAATCAGGTAGAAGTTCATCTTATAAATTTTGGGGGTGGCAGTAAATTGTAATTTTTTAAAAGAGACTTTTGTTACAGGACACATGTGCTTGCTGGATAGACAGCAAGTGTGGGAGGCTGCACACCAGCGAATATCGCCCTTAGGTTTTGGTTTCTCAGAGAGCAAATAATTACATAATGCCAAATGCCACAATTGGCTCCCCTTCAAAACCTTACCTTCAAAACCATACTCTGATTGGCCACTAGAATCCCTCAGATTTGCATATCCGATACCTCATGATTGGTCCACAAAAGAAACCAATCATAACCCACCTTTTAACAACCAATCACCACCCACCAACATGTATATAACCATGATCCCTGGCCCACAATAAATGGAGGAGTCTGAAGAATTGTAACACTGTGTCTTCTCTGTGTTGTAACACTGCGCCAAAACACTGCACCCGTTCCTCTGGTCTCTCACTCCTTCCCTCAGGAAACCTGTTCTACTGTCCTGTGGGTTGGGACAAGCAAGAGACAGAGAGACAGAAAGCAAGAACTCACCCACACCCTATGTGGGGGTGGGGAATGACCATGCCACAATCCCTTCTCCTTTGCCCTCTTGGGACCCTGGGCATGCACACACAATGTGCCAGGCATGAGTCCCAAGTTGCCAGGTCCAGGCCTCGAAGCGCAGTTGACCCCACAGAAGTCCAGCAATGCAGCCATTATGCCATCTGTTGGTCCTGTATTTTATTTTTTTATTGGAAAACAAATATACAACCTGGAATGGATACGGGGCAAATTGTGCCAAAAGCAGATTATCTTTAATTGGCTAAACAAAGTTTAAAAAGCAAGTAGCAATAAAAGAAAGCGTTTCTGGTACAAGACCAGCAGTACAAAAAAAAAAAGAAAAAGAAAAAAGGTATATGAGTGCCTGGATAATACACCTGTTTTGCAATAGTACAACTTTTTATTTTTTTGGAGAGGTTTTTGCTACAGGGCGCGTGTGGTCGCCAGAGAGACAGAGACAGAAAGCGAGAAATTACCCCCTGGGGGGATGGCCATGCTGCAATCCCTCTCCTCTATTCTCCTTTAAGGATCTTGGGCATGCACACACACGCACCTGGTGTGAGTTTAAGCCACCGGGTCTGAGACTCGAACCGCGGTTGACAACATGAGAGTTCAGTGACATAGCCATTACACTAACTGCTGGTTCTGCAGTAGTACAACTTTTAAGTATATATTGTCGACTGCCCATAGTCCACAAGTTACAACTCCACATTTCAACAACAACGTGCTGCTTGTTCCTAAAGAAAACTACTTTTAAAAAGGCATAACTGGGGCCAGCAGGTGGCATGGTGCTTAAGGGCATTGGACTCCTACATGGCCGACTGTGGTTTGGGTCCTGGACCTGGTGGCTTGCTTTCTCTCATTCGCTCTCGCTCTGTCCCTCTCTGGTAAAATAGAAATAAATAAATAAATGGATAAATAAAGTTAGATAAAATAATTCTTTTTTTGTTTTGTTTTGTTTAAAGGCACAACCTAGATGTTCCCTCACTTGACCAATTCCATCTCAGTTGGTGCAGAAGGGCTTAGGTATAGCCAGAGGAAGCCACATACAACATGTTACTTGATCAAATTTTTTTAAGAGAGATTTTCACTATAGGGTGCATGTGCTCACTGGAGAGACAGAGAGACAGAGAGAGAGAAATCACCCCGTGGGGGGATGGCCAAGCTGCAATACCTTCTCTTTTGTTCTCTTCTCAGGATTTTGGGCATGTATGCACATGTGCCTGGCATGAGTTTGAAGCTGCTGGATTCAGGACTTGAACCTGTCGCCCACGTGGGAATCCAGCAACATAATCATTACACCACCTGCTGATCCTAGACTCAATCAGTTTTCTAAAATAAGGACTTAGGACAATGACGGTAAGATAAGGAAGAAAACATGTAGGAATGAGTCCTAATTACTATACATGCATATCTTTTTGGCAGAAGGTAGAAATCTTTTATGGATAAATTACAAAGAAAGGGCAATAAACAATTTTGTACAGAAAATTAACACATTCTGTCTTCACTTTGATGTCATCATTTGTACAAACTCTTCATAGTTTACCTGACCATCACCATCAGTATCTGCTTCCCTGATCATTTCTTTGACTTCATCAGTTAACTTCTCTCCAAAGTTTGTCATCACATGTCGAAGGTCTGCTACACTAATATAGCCATTGCCATCCTTATAAAAAACATGAAATGCTTCTCTAATTTTTTCTTCACTGTCTTTGTCTTTCATTTTTCTTGCCATCATTGTCAGAATAAAAAATAAAATAAAACAAGGTACTGGACTCCCACATGGCCAATTGCAGTTCTAGTCCCAGGCCTGGTGGCTTGCTTTCTCACTTTCCATCTCTCTCTCTCTCACTCACTAACTCTGTTCCTCTCTGGTCAAATTAAAATAAATAGAGTTAAATAAAATAATTCTTTAAAAAAATAAAAATGACAAAATAAATTATAAATTATTGGAATTAGTAAATAAATTTAGTCAGTATTATTTACAACAACAGTTGGAAAATGAGATTTTAAATATGTAATTTACAGGGGACCAGCAGGTGGTATGGTGGTTAAGGCGCTGGACACTCCCACATGGCCAACCATGGTTCAAGTCCCAGACCTGGTGGCTTGCTTTCTCTCTCCCCCCCCCTGGTCAAATTAAAACAAATGAATGAATAAATAAAATTAAATTAAATTATTCTTTAAAAAAATATATATAATATACAAAAGCAGTAAAAATATCAATCGTGGGAATAAATGTAATGGAAGATGTGCAAGTTTGCTGCACTAAAAATTATAAAAATGTTACTAATGGAAATTTAAGATTGAAATTAATAAAAAGATATACAATGTTCATGGATTTGAAGTCTTAGTAATGTTAAAGTGACAATTTTCTCCACATTGACCTACAGATGAACTACAATCCTAATGAATATCCCAATAGGCATGTCTGTAGAAATTGGAGGGACCAGCCAGTGGTGTAGTAGTTAAAGCACCTGGGTCAAACATGTCTCATTGTGTGGTTCGAGTCCTGAACTCAGCAGCCTGCAAAACATGCCAGGCATGTGTGCATGCCCACAATCCCAAAAGGAGCAATGGAAAAGGGATTGTGGCATGATCATCCTCCCTGGGGGGTATATTCTTACTTTCCCTCCCTCTCTCTCCAGTGAGTACATGTACTCTATGGAAAAAAGAAAAAAAGGAAAAAAGGATTGGAAAACTGATTTTAAAATGTCTATGAAAATGCAGAAGATCTAGAGTAACAAAGAAAATCTTGAAGAACAAGTTGAAGACTTATACTACCAGAAATTCATGTAGACAAGATCTATAATACAAAAATTTATATAGCTTAGTATTAGAGCAAGAATAGACAGAGATCAATGAAACAGATGAGAGCCCAGAAATAGACCCACATGTAGAGTTGCTGATTTGACAAACTCTTTTCCTTTTAAGTATGGGTAGGATTTAGTGATTCACTTCTTTTTTTAAAATTTAATGTAATTTATTATTATTATTTTAAGTTGCTATAGGGCATGTGCACTCACCAAAGAGAGAAAGAAGTGAAATGAGAGCAAGTCACCAGGTGCAGGACTCAG